ACCTGAAGCAGAACAATGATAAGTCACCAGGGGACAGTTCTGAGGACACACCCTGGGGACCGAGAGCCATCATCTGTCCTAAGGCGTCAAGGCTACTCCCCTGCTGAGGCAGTGCTGGCCCTCTCACACCTCAGATGTCTCATCTGGTGGTGGTGGGTGGTGGTGGTGATCATTTTGCCTGTTTCCTGCTGCTTCTCACAGGCCTTGAAAGACAAAGAGTACATGCAGAACCCATGCAACCGGGAGCCACAAAGATTTACCTTAGGAAATTTCTAGAAGGTATATGCTTTATACCCAAATGCCAAGGTTTTTTTCTCTTTTTTTTTGTAGACATTATTTCTAAATGTAGCCTAGGCTAGCCTCCAACCAATGGCAATTTTCCTGCCTTAGTTTCCCCAGTGTTGGGACTAAAGGTGTGCCACCATGACCAGTGCCTGATTATTCTCCCCACCAGGTCTGGGGTGTGTGTTTTGGGGGTGGGAGGCCTGGTGTGATGGCTCGGTGGATAAAGGTACCTGCTACCAAACCTGACAACTTGAGTTCAAGTCCCAGGACCCACATGTTGGAAGGAGAGAACTGACTCATGCAAGGTGTTTTCTGACACAAACACTGTAGCACACATATCATACATTAATTCAGCCCAAGAGAGCTCAATGATGAATGTGACAGGTCTGACCAGCCCTGCCCTGAGGCAGCCACTTGGCTCCAGTGATCTCAGTCCCAGAGGCTCGGGGCCATGTGCTTACTTTTCCTATTCCAAGGCCAGTGGGAGCTAAGCCAGGCTGGTGATAGGCATGGATGGGATGCCCGCACTCAGCGCTCCAGCGGCTCAGATGGAGATGACTCCTGAGCACACAGGTGCTTAGAGGCACCACGTTCCCTACTGGAGCTCAAATGGAGACTTCTCCTTTCTTCCAGCTGTGGCTAAGTGACTGCCCCTGAGAGCTTCAGCTGTCTTTCGTTTGAGATTTCCTTTGACTTATGTGTATCTGCATGAATGTGTGCCACCGGTAAGGGTCCCCACAGGGGCCAGAGGAGGCGCGGCACCCTCTAGAGCTGGAGTTACGGCTACGGCCCACCATGCGGGTGCAGGAAACTGAGCTGGGGTTTTCTGCAAGAGCAGTGCGTGATCTGAAGCACTGAGTCACTGAGTCATCTTTCCAGGCCGCCAAGAGTCTCGGCTTTCTCATCCAGGAAAGGGGAGAGTAACAGTGCCTATTCCGTGTGGTTGCTGAGAGCAACAAATATTTAAAAACTGGGCCAGAAGTGATGATTCATGCTTGTAATATCAGCACTTTGGAAGCAGAGGCAGGACCGCCACTGAGTTTCTGGCTAGCCTGGGCTACATAGACTTTCGATCAGCTTGGACTACAGAGTGTGACACTGGGTCAAAAATTTAAAAAACAGGCCAGTATGGTGGCATACACCTTTAATCCCAGCATTTTGGAGGGGAAGACAGGCAGATCTCTGTGAGTTCCAGGCCAGTCAGGGCCACAAAGAGAAGCCCTGTCGCAAACCACCACCCAACAGCTGGTGATGGCAATATACATCTATCATCTCCTGAAGTAGACGAAGAAGGAACAGGTGTTCTCAGCTACACGGAGTTTGAGGTTAGCCTGGCTACATGAGACCATAACTCAAACAATCAAGTCCCCCCCATCGCCAAAAAAAAAAAAAACCTCAACTAGAAACAGCCCAAGAAACAAAGCAAACAAATCCTTTTAATCCGACACATACCACCTACATGGTATGACAGGTTGTCTGTATTCAATTTGCATGATGGTGGCTAGGGCACTTGGTGTGCTTGTAAGTGTGGTTGGGGAGTTTAAGAATTCCCTTCCCTTCCTCCCTTCCTTCTTTCCTTCCTTCCCACCCCTCCTTCCAAGACAAGGTCTCACTATGCAGCTCAGTCTGATCTGGAACTCATCTGCTCAGCTCTGGGATTACAGGCATGTGCCCCTATGCCAGGCACTGGGAGTTTCTGTATCAATTTGAACAGGGGCCTGTGCTCTCTTCCCTTACTGCCTGTGTCCCTGGGTGCATCACTTTCTTCTTGGGATCTCCGGTCCTAACTGTAGTCCTTTTCTGAGCAAAGCCTTTCTCTGGCTCATCAGAGACTCCAGGACAGTCTAACTTCCTCCACCCAGCCTGCCAGAGGCTGTGTGGGCTGCTGTTTGTCTACTTTGCCAGCTCCTCTTTGCTAGTCCTTTGAAAACCACATGTCTTTCCTATAGAGGTATGCGTGCAGATGCTGTCTGCTCTCACGGCATCGGCCTCCACACCTTGCTCTCCAGCGTTTGTAGCTTCTCTCAGAAGTCACCACTGAGTTGCACACCTCCTTTGGGCCC